CTTTCCCTGCCTTGCCCTGAACTGTCCTGTCTTGACTTGACTTGCCTTGCCCTGCTCTGCCCTGCCCCGCCATGCCCGTTCTGGCCTTTCCCTTGCTTTGCCTTGCCTTGCCTTGCCCTGCCCTGCCTGTTCTGGCTTTTGCCTTTCCTTGCCTTGACTGGCCATGCCTTGTCTTGCCCGTCCTGATCTTGCCTTGCCTTGCCTTGCCTGGCCCTGCCATGGCCTGCCCTGCCCTGCCCGGCCTGGTCTTGCCTTGCCTTGCCTTGCCTTGCCTTGCCCACTCCTCCCCTGCTCCTACAGCTGGGATGGCGCCATCTCATCTCCTGACAGCTTCTCCTCCCTTCACAGCACGCACCCACAATGTGTTTCAAGCCAACACTAAAACAAGATTGCAAAGTCAAAGAACACGGAACTGCACGCAAAGAGCAGCCATGGGAGATGCAGCCTTCCAAGGGAGGGGTCTCCTCTGCACTGGTTACTGCAGGGCTCTCGCTCCTTAAATAGCCCACGCTCAGCATGGGGCCCCCGTCACAATAGGCAAATCCACAGTGACCGCCACGGGTTTGTGATGGCGGCAGCATCGTGCCCATGGCCACTGGGCACCCAGGGGTGCTCCGGGAGTTGCTGCAGAGGAACCAGCCTCTGCCCAGCCGGCTCGGGGAGGTCCCTCACGGGCTGCTCTTCCTCAGTGCCTTTGGTCCGGAGGTGGAGCATGCGAGGGGTCACAGCTCAACGTGGGCCATGGAACAGGGCGTCACGGCCACCTACGAGAAGTGGAGAGGGACCGACATTCGCCCAGCAGAGAATCGTGGAATCCCAGATTGGACTAGCTGGGCTGGAAGGGACCTTTAAGCTCACCCAGCTCCAACCCCCAAAGCCACAGGCAGGACACCTTCCACTAGAGCAGCTTGCTCCATGGCCCTGTGTCTCTGTGCACTCCCAGGACATCCTGGGGATACCCCTAGAGAATCCCAGAGAATGCCTGCAGCACCTCCAGAGCACCCCATGGACCCAGTCAGAGCTCCTGCATCACAATGACCTTGGGGACATGGAGACCACAGGGGTGGTTGATTCTGGAACTCCCCATATTCAGGTGTGTGAGGTCACAGAACCCCACAGAACCCTCCAGCAGAGGCACCGGGAGGCGACAGCTGCCCCACGGAACACAAGCTACCGGTGGAGGAGGCAAGAGCAGCTCCTCTGGTGGTTCCTGCCTTGGTGTCTCGGAGCCGGTGACACCTGTGGACACAGGAGCGTGGAATGAGGTGGGTGGCGATGGTGATCTTGGGGTGCTGTCGGAGTTGCCAGAACACCTCAGGAGACTTTCCCAGAGTGGCTGCTTTGGACTTGGTGTGTGAGTTGATCTGGCTGAGCTGGCAGCGGAGCGCTGCGGCTTCCGAGGCATGATTCTGGGATCTGCCCTCATTTCTTGCGGGGAGAACAAGGGCCTGTGAGGATGGGACAAGGGCAAAGGGCTTTAACATGACAGAGAGGGGAGATTGAGAGGTGATCTTAGGAAGTTGTTCCCTGTGAGGGTTGTGTGACAGTGGCTCAGTGTGGGTGATGGGCTAGATATAGTTAATAAAAATGGATCCAGGCATTATCACCCTGGTGTGGCTTAAGCCTTGAGAACAGTAAAGAAAACACCAGCTGGTAATGCCCTGGTTGGGCTTAAGAGCCTTTGGAATGGTAAAGAGAACAATGAAGCATCAAGATCAGTTAGCAAAACAAAGCAGGCCGTTTGCAAGATAAAGCAGGATGTGCTTTTCAGAAACAGACCAAAGGATTTAAATATCTGTAACCCTCAGGAGTTTCCCTGAATCGGGATGACAAGGAAGTAACAGAGTGGAAAGTTACTACTGTGCACTTAGTAGACTATAAAAGGGATACCAGATCCAAAATAAATGTCTTCAGATTTCGCCAGAACTGGAGTCTGTCTTTGATACACCACAGCACAGGGTGCCCAGAGAAGCTGTGTCTGCCCCATGGCTGGCAGTGTTCAAAGCCAGGTTGCACACAGGGGCTTGCAGCAAGCTACTCTGGTGGAAGGTGTCCCTGCTCAGGGCAGGGGTTGGTGTGGATGAGCTCTAAGGTCCCTCTCAACCCAAACCAGGTGGCAGCCCATGATGCTGTGGGCTTGCTGGCAGGTGAGCGCTGGGCCTGGCTCTTGCCCTGGATTTTTGGCCACTGCAGTTTGTGCTGCATGTGAGGAGCGATGTGGGAAGAGGCTCTGTGCTGGCTGAGGTGACATGGTCATGCTGGGTCCTGGGCTTCCAACCCAGGAACCCTGTGGGCAGGGGCTGGGGCTTTGTCACTGCTGTCATTGCAAGCAGGGCGTCCCCTATCCAAAGAGGTTCTGTTGTTCCTTGCTCCCTTCCCGCTTCTGCCTAGGTCACCTCGTATCTGCAGACCAGCACCACTGCCTGTAGCAGCCTCAAAGTGAACCTCACCCCACCATCACCACAGGCCATGCCAAATGAAACTGGGGACCCAAAATCCTGGACTGGTGCCACCCCTGCCCCCAACTGGAGATGCCCCAAAAGAGCTGCTCCCCCCCCCCCCCCCCCCCCCAAAGACACCAGCCCCAAAATGCTCCTTGTAGCCCCCAAACCACACACCATGGGGCACGCCTATACCCCACCCATTGTGGTATCAGGGAACTGAGGTGGGGGGGGCAACCCCAGAGTAGGGGTGCCTAATTTGGGGTGTCCCCCCTAAAAGAGCCCCAGGCATGAGGTCTGGTGGGGGATGAGCTGGAGCACCTGCAGCAGGCACTGGGAGCACTGGGATGCTGAAACCCCAGCAGTATCTGGGGCCATAGTGGCCTATATTGGTCTGTACTGGTGCAAACTGGTCCGTACTGCTCCATGCTGGGATGTGTAAATTTGCGGCCAATACCAAGTTGGGTGTGAGCGTTAATCTGCTGGTTTCTGCTTGGTTTCTGACATTGCTCAGGTGGAACTTTGACATCATGTAGTGCTTCCCACACTGCTGGTGCTGCTTCCCCTACCTCTATGAAGGAATCTCCTCTGATGAAGACATCATGTATATTATGGCACATTTTCACCTTGTGAGGAAGTGAGACCTTGTGTGGGTTTGTGGTGTTCATGGGAGGGAGCTGAGTCCCCTTCCAGCCCCAGGGCTACAATCCCAGGAGGAGATGCCTCAACCGACCAGGCTGAATCCCTTTCTTCAGCAGGGGTAAAGGACATCCCAGCCTCTCCTGGCCTAGCTGTCCTGTCTGATGATGGGACAAGAAAGAGGCTGCCCAAAGAAGTGGTTGTGTCACCATCCCTGAAAGTATATAAAAGACATGTTCTAAGGGACACGGTTAATGTGTTGTCTTGCCAGTGTTCGCTTAATGGTGGACACAATGTTCTTAAGGGTCTTTTCCAACCTAAATGATTCCAAGATTCTACAAAATCTTGTTGTTCAGACCAAACTCCGTCTCTCATCAGAGAAATGGCACTGCAGGAAGGCAGTGTGTCTGCAACTGAGGGAGGGACCATCAGTGCTTGCTTCAGGCTGTTTCCCCTGGTGTTTCCCTGGAGCCCCAGGGAGCCCTGGAAGGAGCACAGTGGGGCAGAGGCAGAGCCACCTTGGGCTGGGCCTCTGCTGCTGAGCTGGGACCGAGGGGAGACCGGCGAGACACAGGGAGCTTAAAGGCACTTGGTAGTGGAGGATGCTGAGGAGGAGGAGGAGGAACCTTCTGAAGGAGAAACCTTCCCAGCCCTGTTTGTGGTAAGGCACTGGGTGCAGGGCAATGCAGCTGCAGTTTCTCTCTGTGTAGATAAGGAGGAGGATGTGCTCCAGAGCAGGGCTTCCCCTGCACCATGCAGGGACAGGACAAGGCAGGTCCCTTGTCCCGGGGCTGGCTGCAGGGTGTGAATGTGGGTGTGCAGCCAGGGGTGCCCAGCGCTGCCCTTGCAGCAGGGTCCCTGCAGCCCAAAGGCTGTGTGCAGGGGCAGGGACTCTGCTGCCTGCCAGGGTCAGCACTCGGCCTGCTCGGGAGCTCCCCATGGAGCTCGGGGGGAGCTGAGGGGAAAGGAGAAACCCCTGGCAGGGAAGGGAAGTGCTGGGTGGGTGACGCTGCTCCAATCTGCCGTCACTCTGAGCACTTCTTCAGAGGGTCCTTCTGTAAGACACTGAGGCATCATTTACCTGCTAAGGAAGGATGCTGAGCTTTGATGTTTTTCCCTCTTGGTGGGCAGGTTGGGCAGTGGGAGCTGGGAATTTTCTTCTCTGCTTTGGGGGAGGCATCAAGAGTCTTGAGAGGGCTTGTGTGAGCTGCTCCTAAGCCCCTGCACAGGCAGAGATGCCCCTGGGCAGAGTCCTGCTGCCGGGAGGGGTGTGCAGGGCAGAGCTGAGCACACAGCCCATGGCATGGGCTCTGGGAGCACTGAGAGGGAGCAGAGCTGGGCACAGAGCAGCAGCTCCTGGCAGGGACAGCTCCAGGCAGCAGAGATATGGATGGGCAGGGAGTGGGGGGAAAGTGCAGCCCAGCCCTGGGGAGGGTGCGTTCAGGCAGCTCTCTTGGGGTCTGGCACTGGAGGTGGCTGCTGGCCGTGCTCTGCTGCCCACAGCCCTTTGCTTCTCAGCGTGAGAGCTCTGTGATCTGTCCTTTGAAACCGTTCTCCCCTGGTCTCAGCACAGGACAGATATTTCTTGGGCATTTAAGATCAGTGTGTGTGAAGGCATCTTAGAGGCAGTGCAAGTGTAAGCAGAGGGCAAATGGGAAAGCAGTGATGGACACTGAAGCTCTCTAGGCTATGTACTAAGCTGCAAAGAACTGAGGCTTTTTGCCTGATGCAATGCTCTTCTGATTGTATGCATGAAGAAAGCCCAGCAGTATAATGCCATCACTGGAGATGACACTGAGCTTCTCCTGTCCTCCTATAATGTGCTCAGAGTCATGTGTAAACTGAACTTCTGTATCTGACATCCCTCCTGTCCTGACCTGTCACTGCCTTTTTCTCCTCTGACACTGCCCCATTCCCGGAGGCAGCAGATGTCCAACGGCAGCTCCATCACCCACTTCCTCCTCCTGCCATTCGCACACACGCGGGAGCTGCAGCTCTGCCACTTCTGGCTCTTCCTGGGCATCTCCCTGGCTGCGCTCCTGGGCAACGGCCTCATCATCACCAGCACAGCCTGTGACCAGCGCCTCCACACCCCCATGTACTTCTTCCTCCTCAACCTCTCCCTGCTGGACCTGGGCTGCATCTCCACCACTGTCCCCAAATCCATGGCCAATTCCCTCTGGGACACCAGGGCCATCTCCTACACAGGCTGTGCTGCACAGCTGTTTTTCTTTCTCTTTTTTCTCATCGCTGAGTATTCTCTCCTTGCTGTCATGTCCTATGACCGCTACGTGGCCATCTGCAAGCCCCTGCACTATGGGACCCTCCTGGGCAGCAGAGCTTGTGTCCACATGGCAGCAGCTGCCTGGGGCAGTGGCTTTCTCAGTGCTCTGCTGCACACGGCCAATACATTTTCACTGCCCCTGTGCCGAGGCAATGCTGTGGAGCAGTTCTTCTGTGAAATCCCCCAGATCCTCAAGCTCTCCTGCTCACACTCCTACCTCAGGGAAGTTGGGCTTCTTGTGGTTGCTGCCCTGATTGCTGTTGGCTGTTTTGTTTTCATTGTGGGGTCCTATGTGCAGATCTTCAGGGCCGTGCTGAGGATGCCCTCTGAGCAGGGACGCCATAAAGCCTTTTCCATGTGCCTCCCTCACCTGGCCGTGCTTTCCCTGCTTCTCAGCACTGCCACACTTGTCTACCTGAAGCCCCCCTCCATCTCCTCCCCATCCCTGGATCTGGTGGTGTCAGTGCTGTACTCGGTGGTGCCTCCAGCAGTGAACCCCCTCATCTACAGCCTGAGGAACCAGGAGCTGAAAGATGCTGTGAGGAAGCTGGTGACCAGATGTGATTCAGCAGATATACGCTGCTTGCTTTACCCTGGAAAGGGCTTCCAGTGTAGGTCATGACAGGCCATGTCTGTCTTTCCTGCTTTACATTTGTTTTCCTATTTCAATCTGTGATGATGTTGTCTTCATAGAAATGTCAGTTTTCATCTCCTAATTTAGTTCCCACTCGTGTTGTGTGACCCACAGACTTTGTGTCACTCTGGTCTCTGATTGTATTTAAGGGAAATAAATTATCATGCAGCAACTTCTTCTCTGTGATATGTCCTCACACGGCAGGAATGAAGGGGAATGAAAGCAGCTTTCTGGCTGCTCCAGCTGTGGGATGGCTGCTTTGTGCCTGCAGCAGGAAGAGCTCTTGGGGAGCCCAGTGAATGGGGCTGTTGTGCTGGAGTGGGGAGATGGGAAGGCATGGGGGGGGGGGTGGGGGTCAGAGCTCTCAGGGTGTCCTGGGCAGGGGAGCAGGGGACACAAGGGTCCCTGCAGGGGACTGCTCTGCAATGGCACAGGCTGGGGCTGCCTGGCTGAGAACAGCCCATGGGAAAGGTCTGGGTGGGCAGGAGCTGGACAGGAGGCAGCAAGGGAGGACAGCAGCATCGTGGGCTGTATGAGCAGGAGCACGGCAGGAGAACAAGGGAAGGGATGATCTGGAATCCTCCATCCAGGTTTCAGATCCCCAGTTCAAGAGTGGGTTTAGTAATGAGCTCATGGGGACCTGAGATCTTGGGAAGGGAAGGCTGTTGGGGACTGGCTGCCTGTACCGGCAAGGAGGACATGGAGAATACAGAGCCAGGCTCCTCACCATGGTGCCTGGTGGGAGGACAAAAGGCAGTGGGGGACAGTGACAGAGGAGAGGTTCAGGCAGGACAGAAGGAAACCTTGTTCCCATCGGCTCAGGCAAGTGCTGCATCAGGTCACCCAGAGAGGCTGTGCAGTCTCTGGCCTTAAGGATTGCCAACTCAGCCTGAATCAAGCCTTGAACCACTTGCTCTGACTCTGCTCCTGACAGGTTCGACCTGAGACCTCCTGGGGTCCCTTCCAACCTCTGTTCACTTCTGATCCTACAATGATTGGCTTATGAAGGGTCACAAAGATGCTCTAAGGGCTGGAACACATCTCCAATGGAAACAGGCTGAGAGATGTGGGTGTTCAGCCTGGAGAAGAGAAGGCTCCAGGGAGATATCTTAGCAATCTCTCCATACCTAAGCAGGGCCTACAAGAAATGTGGAGAGGGGTTTTTGCAAGGGCCTGCAGTGACAGAACAAGGGGGAATGGCTTTAAGCTGAAAAAAGGAAGATTCAGCTTGGACATTCAGATGAAGTTGTTCCCTTTGAGAGTGGTGTGACACTGACACAGGGTGCCCAGAGAAGCTGTGTCAGCCCCATCCCTGGCAGTGTTCAAGGCCAGGTTGGATGGAAGTCAGCTTTGTTCTGAAGCAGTGCTTTGTCCACCTCTGATGTTCACAAGGGATGACAGATGAAATCCAACTTCATTGTAAAGTTCACTACTTGTACTCATGACTCAAGTGAGTCTGGGCTGCACAAGAGAGGCTCAGCATGGCCTTAGAGTCATTTGGAATGTGTTATTTATTTACTGGCATAGCACTGCTGAGGTGGTTTTTGTTTTTTTTTTTCTGGGGGGGGGACGGGGCTATAAAACATTCTTTGTATGACAGAAAGTCAGAACAATATTGACACAGGGAGAAGTTCTCAGCTCCTTGTAGCTTAGTGCAGAGCAAGGAGGGCTGCAGTGTCCATCAGTCCTTTCCCATTTGCCCTGTGCTTACAACACTTGTATATGATGCCTTCACACACAAAGTGATCTTAAGAACCCCCACAAACACCTGTCCTGTGCTGAAAGCAGGGGAGCACGGTTTCAAAGGGCAGATCACGGAGCTCTCATGGAGAGAAGCAAAGGGCTGTGGGCAGCAGAGCACGGCCAGCAGCCACCTCCAGTGCCAGACCCCAAGAGAGCTGCCTGAACGCACCCTCCCCAGGGCTGGGCTGCACTTTGCCCCCACTCCCTGCCCATCCATATCTCTGCTGCCTGGAGCTGTCCCTGCCAGGAGCTGCTGCTCTGTGCCCAGCTCTGCTCCCTCTCCATGCTCCCAGAGCCCATGCCATGTGCTGTGTGCTCAGCTCTGCCCTGCACACCCCTCCTGGCAGCAGGGCTCTGCCCAGGGCCATCTCTGCCTCTGCAGGAACCTCACACCTGGCACTCAGTGGATCCATCAGTGGTGAATGGAGAAACATGGTCACCCCCTGAGGAAAGCCTTGAGAGCTTCTTAACTCTTCAGTTAGTTACTGGTGGCAATGAACAGTGTGTAGGGAGGTGAGAGAGGGTGGAGGGAAGTCAGCAAGAAGCAAGGCGATGGTTCAGGGCTTTTACAAATCCTTACAGCAGGACAGAGCCCAGCGGTGGGGGGCAGTTGGTGTCTGTAGGTGGAGGAGGAGTAGGTGTTCCTGGAGTGTGGCTGCAGGCCCTGGACAGACCAGAGGCTATCTGAGAACTTTCCCTCATGGGAACATGCCTCAGTGTGGCACATGGGGAACCCACTGCTGGGGGTGCCTGAACGCTGCTCATCATGCCCCACGAGCCCACCTTCCTGTCTCCCTCTCCTGCACTACCCGAACTTGCCTGGAATGCAGCATCCATCCCTGAGCCTGGGGAATGCAGGAACCTCCTGCAGTGAGGTGTCGCTGCTGCAGGGGAGGTGCAAAGCTTCTGTGAGACACTTGTGAGTGCAGGCAGAGAGTGGGGTGTGTGCAGCAGAGAGGGTGCTACAGGCAGGAAGCTGTCCCAGATGAGGTGCCCTGTCCCCAGAGCATGGGGTACCTTGCACCCAAGGACACCACCTTTTCTTTTGGCTCTTGCCAAGAAGTTCTCAATCCAGACCATTGCCTTTTCCCACTGCTCTCCCATGGTGCTTAGTTCTCTCTACTGATGGCATCACCCATTCTTCTAGAAGCCTCCTTTAGGTCAGCTTGCTAAGGGATATTCACTCCACCTGCAGAATTGACACTGTAGTAGCAGCCTACAACTAGGTGTAATGTGGCTGCAGAGATGATGTAGGTTTTCTTGCTAGCAGGAAGAGAAGGAAACTTCTGCAAATTGCAGCTTGGATGGTTCAGATTCAAAGTTAGGAAAGAGAAATGTCTCTCAAAAGGTGGACTTGTGGTGCAAGAGGTCACCCAGAGGAAGTCTGGCTCAGACCATGGCTTTGTGTTTCAAGGAACAGACAGGGATGGGTGCAGAGATGGGACTGAAGGTACAGAAATGCCAGGTGAGAGCTAGGTGGGAAAGCAAGATGGGGGTCAACAGCCTGAAGGGAAAGAGGTGCAGGCATGGGCCAGTGTAGGACAGCCTGAAGCAGAGATGACAGGGTTGTGGCATGGCTGAAAGGCCCAAAAGAGCAAAAGGCCTCTGTGCCCTGGGCTATGGCAGTTGCCTCTTTCATCAAGGTTTATGAGGAAAACTTTCTTTCTCAGAATTTCAGGCTCTGCTTCTCCAAGGGCTGTGGTCAGGGCTTGGCCTTTCTGCATCATCAAACAAACCAAGGGTTTTCTCACCATCAGACACCTGCACTTTGCCTTTGTCTCCTCTAATCACAGCCTGCAGATACTTCCTTTAACGAGTCCCTGGGGAGGCTTTGTCAGCAGCAGCCCTCAGTGGGGCCCATTAATGCTGAAGGCACTTGGGGCTTTGTTTCTGACTTGGACTTCTTGAGAGGTTTCCTCAGTCTCCTCTCAGCACCTGAGGTTCAAGGACTCAGCCCAAATACACCGTGGGACTCATTAAACCCTGATGAGCCATGTCTCACCGTGTAGTTTTTGTCAAGTCTTCCAGATTGTCTTCCAGGGAACTGGGGAGGTTTCCGAGTGCAGGAAGATTACAAAGGGCATCTGATAGAAGTTATTTGAAAGGGTTATTTGAAAGGAAAATCTACGAAAGATGAGAGGAATGAAGGACGTGGTGTAACAGGCAGGACAGTGGCAGTGCAGTTACAGGGGAAGATCGGCTTTCCTTTGGGATCCCCCTTGTGAAACGTTATTGGATTGGCAGAGGTCTCTTGGGAGAGAGGACAAGGACATGTTGCAGTTACCTTTGATAAAGGTGCCAAGGGCAACCCAGGGGAGCCCAGGCTGTACAAGCTGCCTTTGGTGAGGCGTGTGCCAGCATCAGAGTCCTCTTGGGTGACATCTCTGGGCACCTAAACGCCGTCCGAAGGGTAACTGCTGCCTGGCCAAGCTGAGAGGCTGCAGTTGTGCGTGAGGAGGCAAAGAGTGGATGTGGTTTCCCTCAGCTTCAGCACAGCTCTTGGCACGGTCTCCCTCAAGGCTGCTGTACCCAAGGGGTACACCACAGACATAACAATCCTCCTGTCCTTCTACTTATCAATTAGTTTAACTGCAGCCCATCCTGGACACCTGCCATTCCCAGATACCCCTTATCTCTGTGTTCTTCTAGCCTGTTTTTCTTAACTCATTTTGTACTAAGGTCATAAGGGCCTAAAACTATGTCAGCTATAATGGTTTATCTTACATGAGAAAGAATTCTCAGCCTGTTCTCTAGCCGTGCTCTTTTTTTTTTCTGTGTATCATGCACCTCAGTAATTTTCCATTGCTACTGTTACAAAGCCATCAAACAACATTACTTAAAACTGATTCTAAAGGTATATATATTTTATTTTGTAATGTTTTGCCTCCCCCCTTGTCTCAAATTTCCCCTTTTTATGTCCTTTTGCAAATTCTTTTGCAACATTTTTTATATTACCATTACCGTCAAAAGACTTTTTGAAATAATTTCCCGTTTCTACTTGGTGCTTAATTTCGTTCCTTTGCCAATCGTCATAATTGATCATAGACCATTTACAACAGCAGAGGGAACATTGTATCATACCACAAGTAATCAATAGTAAAACAAATAACATCAATATTCCTGCAACCGGTTGCCTCAACCAGGAGAGGTTCAGGTAACCATGAAGTTATTTTTTTCCATATTTCTTCAAAACCCCAGGAGGTGTCATCCATGGCCATTTCATGAAATATCTTAGTTTGTTTCCAAATTTCCTCCAGATCTGTTTCGATTCTGCCACTTCAGTCTGTATAGGAACAACAACTTTCATTGATTATGGAAGAAACCCCTCCTTGTCATGCCAGTAACATGTCTAGAGCTATTCAGTTTTGTAATACCACTTTAGACAGGCTGGTTATCTCTTGTTGTTCCGCCTGAATTATATCAATGTTTTTACTTTCCATTTCCTCTATGGTTGCTCGGATATTTACAATTGCCTTCTCTAATTCACTTACTCCCAAAGATGGAATTAGCCCTCTTACAAAACTATGAAATGCAGTGTGCCATTCAATAATAGGGTTAAACCCTCTCTTAATCCGTTTAGCAAAACTTCTAATCCAGGTCCCAGAAGGATACCTGTTGATAATAGTAAAATTGGGTATTACAGCACCTAAGGTGCATGCCTCCTTCCAGCTGGGGGCAGAGTCTTATAAGCATTTTCTCCACATAACCAGTACCTTTAGGAACAGGCCATCACTGAACTACAATACCATCTATATTAATAGCACGATTGCAATTTGAATGGTGACCTACATCTGTGGCATTGAAACAAGCATGATCTCCTACCCTGGTTCCTGGTGTAATACATCTTTGTGCACAGGTGTAATGTTTATTACCTGGATTAGGATTAACTATTCCAAAGTTTAACCTTTCCTTCGAATACAGATTGCTAGTGTTCACCCACAAATTTGTCCATGAGGCAGTGTTTGGAATTGGAACTCCAATTAATGGGAGATCCAGGCTTTCTCCTGATTTAGGCAACTGTGCACACACCCAATAGTCAGTATGATTAAAAACATTAGTAATATTCTGCACTAACTTCAGGTGTAAATTCTGGTCCCAAGCTCGTGCGCCAGTTATCATATGAGTCCAAATTATGACCGACGCAATTTCATACGTAAGGGTCCTGAAGGTTCGATCCGCCATGTCTTCTCTGGCTCTGGTGCTTTCTTAATTCTTGAATGATGTATCCGAGCAGGTTGTTCCTTTATCTTCA